AAAATATTTGTACATACTTTAAATATTATATAAATGTAATAGGATTTATTTAGTTAAAACAATTCTCTTTTTTTGTAGATATAAGTATTAAAGATACGGTAGCAAAAGTACTAAATATAAATATATTCAAAAGTAGTTAATAAATCTATCTGTACGCACAGATATTTTTGTAGAGATAAGACACAAAAGCAAAAGTACAGTTGCAAAAATTCTAAATACAAATGTAAATATATTTAAAAGGGATATATACTGTACCTGACCTTTTAATAATATATAATAATAATATATAGGCTTATTATTGATGTAATTGGATATATTTAATATTAAAGGAAAAATTCTAAGTGTACAAAGAAATGATGAATAATTACAAACTGCAAAATTATTATAATTTTTTTTACATTTTCTGAAAGTTCTTGGCCATGCAAAATTCGCTGTCACGATGCAGTTGCCAGCGGGTGTTGCTGTGTGGTGCCTAAGGTGTTATGAGTGCTTTTAATGTGTTGCTATGTGCTTGTTAGGGTGTTCGGGGTGATTATATGGTGGATGGTTATTAGTCCGTTTTCAAAAAAATCACAAGTCTAATCACTTAGAAAAGATCCCGAACATCTTTCCCCAACAAGCCATTATTCATTTCCACAGCACAAATGATGCAAGTCATGCACCAAAATTGAACTTTGTTATTTCAGATTTCTGTCCAAAAGAACTGCACTTGTAACAGGCAAAAAAAAAATTTGACCATCTAACAATATGCATAACAGCAGCACAGCGTTAACAATCTGACCGTGATGGCTGCTTGCTTTCTGTTTATCACTGTAAAAACAGTCTTTTTCTCTGTACATGAAGTGAATCTCCCGGGGACGTGCAGCGCTAGCGTTCGAGCTGCATAACGCCTCTCTTAACCTTTGCCTTCCTGTGTTATTCTTACCTGAGAGCGCTGCTGCATCTGCAGCAAACGAATAACATTTTTTTTTAAACGAGTAACATCCTCATCATTTAGAGCTGCGAGCTGTTTATGTTTCTTGACTGTCGGACAGGCAGGGGAGCAGGGGAGAGAGAGAGGCAGGGGCTGCAGGGGAGGAAGCAAAGAGAAGAGGAGGGGGAAGAGAAAGAGGGGAGCGATTTAATCCCCCCCAAAGGAACTCCCCTTTGAACCCCATATCGTGAACTCGCAGGCAAAACTCGTCGCCATGGGCAACACCACACACAATGTGCTGTCTTTTTAATTTCATCAGCTGTGAGAAATCTATACCGAAGCGGCAATGTAGAGGAAGAGGGGGAGAGAGAGAGACAGAGATAAAAAAAACCCCACAATGCAACAGGCGAAAATAAAAGCTAGTTGCTTGACTAATTGTTGCAGTTCAGAATGAGACAGTGAGAAAGGGGTCTATAGGTCATGATGGTCAGTGGTCTGCAGTTGTGTAGGAAATGCTTAATAGCATCATTCAAAATCACGCCAAAAAAACATCTTTCATAGATCGATAATTACTCTTAAAAATAAAGGCTTTTAATGACACCTATGGTTTCATGAAGAACCTTTAACATCCACACTCTTAAAAATAAAGGTTCTTCATTGACATTGATGGTTCCATGAAGAACCTTTGGAAGAGAAAGAGGGGAGCGATTTAATCCCCCCCAAAGGAACTCCCCTTTGAACCCCATATCGTGAACTCGCAGGCAAAACTCGTCGCCATGGGCAACACCACACACAATGTGCTGTCTTTTTAATTTCATCAGCTGTGAGAAATCTATACCGAAGCGGCAATGTAGAGGAAGAGGGGGAGAGAGAGAGACAGAGATAAAAAAAACCCCACAATGCAACAGGCGAAAATAAAAGCTAGTTGCTTGACTAATTGTTGCAGTTCAGAATGAGACAGTGAGAAAGGGGTCTATAGGTCATGATGGTCAGTGGTCTGCAGTTGTGTAGGAAATGCTTAATAGCATCATTCAAAATCACGCCAAAAAAACATCTTTCATAGATCGATAATTACTCTTAAAAATAAAGGCTTTTAATGACACCTATGGTTTCATGAAGAACCTTTAACATCCACACTCTTAAAAATAAAGGTTCTTCATTGACATTGATGGTTCCATGAAGAACCTTTGACATCCATGGAAACTCTTCTTCATTGCACATTTTGGAAAAAGGTTCATTAGATGATTCAAATGTTTTTCAGACTGTACTTCACACAGTAAAAAAGTGGCTCTTTTAAGAACTGTTCACTAAATGGTTCTTTGGGGGACCCAGAATGGTTCTTCTATGACATCACTGTGAAAGACACTCTTTTGGAATTCTTTTATTTTTACAGTTTTTCTCAATTGCTTTGGCTCAATTCTCGAATGAAACTTTTTTTTCCCGAAACAATAAGTTCAGATCTCTGAACAATTAGCTTCTTGTTCACATCAGATTGGAATTTCTTATTGATTTGAGCAAATTGCAAATGCTTTGGCACATGTGTGCAAACAGTAAGTACAATTGTCTGCAGTTTGCACAACAACTAATTGCATATGGCTTGTTGATCAAAACTGATGAGCCGATTCTCACTTAAACTGTCAAACTCTTCACAACTTCTCAATCATTTGTCATCGTGTAAGCCATCACATTCAAAACGATCCATTCAATTATGAAAAATTGATATACACGCATGTATATTCCATAAATATCTGACATGAAAGGAAAAATTGAAATCGCATCATATGACCCCTTTAAATGTCCTGCACACTAAGAAAAATATTTTACACTCTTAAAAATAAAGGTTCCAAAACAACGGGAATCATATTCGGTTCCCCAACAAACCTTTCAGGGAATAGTTCTACAAAGAACCATTTTTGAACATTTCAATAACCCCAAGAACCTTTTTCCACTTTAAAGATCTTTTTTTTGCATTGGAAAGGTTCCATGGATGTTAAAGGTTCTTCATGGAACTACTGATGTCAGTAAATAACTTTTAATTTAAGAGTGCATTTCAAAATCTAAAGAAACTTTTTCCACTATTTACAAGTTCCATGGATGTTGAAGGTTCTTCAGGGAGCCATAGATGCCAGTAAAGCACCTTTATTGAGTGCCGCACTCTTAAAAATAAAGGTTCTTTATTGGCATTGATGGTTCCATGAAGAACCTTTAACATCCATTGAACATTCCAATGCAAAAAAAAAAGGTTCTTTAAAGTGGAAAAAGGGTCTTCAGGTTATTCAAATGATCCTCATACTAAGAAAAAAAACCTTATTTTAAGAATTGTTGACTGAAAGGTTCTTTGGGAACCAAAAATGGTTCTTCTATTGCATTGGTGTGGAAAAAAAATGAATCCTTGAAACCTTTATTTCTAAGAGTGTAAGATATTAAATTGATCTCATTTGGGTTTTTCTTTTGTATCAGACGCTGTACTGAAGGCAGCATTGTGCAAATGAAGATGCATGGTAGCTACATTCACACATGTACTCAGTTATCCACAATAAAATGCAAGTGTTTGGTATTTTGGTTCAAGCATGATTCATAAGGCCATGTTATGTCTGAATTCAGTGTCCATTGTTCAAACATGAGAGCCCTTCTGATTCCTTTGAAACTTATACAATTTCTTATTGTCTGACTTTTCATACTTTTTAGCGTCAGCATAAACAAGAGCAATGAACTCTGAATTGAACGGCCTGCAGTTCAGATCTGAGTTGAGGTTTCATCTGCCCAAAAAGTGTTGAGCTAGGAGTGATTCTTATTTGTGCAGAAATAAAAAAGGCAAACATAACATACAAGTTGGCTGAATTTTAAAAAGGTGTAGTTCTGAAACAAAGATATCTGAATCAGCAAGCATCGCTCTCTTCTTTCATGCCATAGGTCAAGTGTACTTCCTTTACCTATATGCGAGGTAGGCAGCAAGTTTCAACCCACACCCGCTCCATATTACAATGACAGGAAATAAGGCTGCATGGGTATTAATGCAGGTTTCCTGGTTCACTGTGATTCCTATTCATAAGCTTTTTCTATTTAATTGGGAATATTTAATCTATAATGTCCATATTGTTTGAGTGCAATGTTTCCAACTCATCTTTTTTAATTAAAATGTTTCTTGCATCTTATTCACAATACGGCACCTTTTTATTTTTTTTGGACCACTGATATCATTTGGACAGAGGAGTCAATATCTGAGTCATTCGGATGTAAATATTAATCTAAAAAAAAATCTAAATTTTTACCCAGTCTATTTATTCTGTAGAATGGTATATTGTGGTAATGAATATGCATAGTATTGTTACCGTGGACTCTTCAAAATACTGTGAATAATTGTAGATACATAATTCAAATTGTTTAGATTTTTAAAATACACATTAGCTTCTTTTCCATCAACTGGTTAAAATTTAAATCGCTCAGTGTATGCTGTGTGAAAATTCACTTCACTCACTGACAGTAGGTGGCGCTTATGAAAAAAGATGAAAACATTTAATGTAGAAGATTTTTCACTCTAAAAATTGCTGGTAAATTTCACAAATGATCACAAAGAAAGCAGAAAAAATAATGAATTAAAAATGAAATTTAAATGTAGAAAAACGGAAACTTGTAAAAATCTAGTTCAATAATCTTTGTTTTATTTACAACTTTGAAAAATAATTTGTTTAGTGTGCAGTTACATGCTGTATACAGTGCAAATTTCTTTTCCTAACACCAGCTTGTCATGGAGAAGAAAGGAAATCAAACAGTATTTAAATGTGTTAATAAATAAATATTGTTTTGTTATATTTTCACATTTATCTTTATATTTTCATGGACTAAAACATGCCAGTCCAAAAAAGATAGCTAGATATTTGTTGAAAATGTTCAGTTTCTTTATTATTTCTTTATCATTGTTCTTTATAGTTGTGTTCTTGTGCACTTACATTTGTTTGAAACATTTGTTTACTCAATACATTTTTTTTATGGTGTATTGTTTTATTGTCTGTTCAAGTTTCTTTTTATTATTTTGAAAAAAAGGGGAAGAGGAAAACGTATCTTCTTATAACTTTAACCTTGCAACCTGTTTCCATAATGTAACCCTGTACCATGAAAATACTGTAAATGTTTCAGCACAAATTGTGATATGAAAATTTGCTGCCATCACAATCCCTATTAATATCCTAATTGTTTCTCCAAGATTACAAATGGAGAGTTTCATGAAAACGTTTTCTTGAAGGAAGATCTACTGTTTCTCCTGAGAAAAATACCTCAGCAAACCCTCTGGAGTTTCAGAAGGGATCTCAACAATGTCTCAGACTATGCTCAGTACAAATGCTGTCAGTACGAAAGCAAAAGGTAAGCCTGCTGCTGCATTAACACTGTATTACGTGAGCAGTGTGAAACAGCTGAGATGAATACTTCACAGAAGTCCTTTAAGTGTCCTGAACCAAGAAAGAGCAACCGCTAAACATTTTATTCCACTCATGACCTCTCAGTAATGATTATATACTTCTCTAGTTTTGTCCCTTACATCCAGGGGAAGTCTCTTCTCTCTACTACAGTTTGTGTGTGTGTGTGTGTGCGTGTGTGTGTGTGTGTGTGTGAGAGAGAGAGAGAGAGAGAGAGAGAGAGAGACAAAAAGGACAGCCTGTGAGGGGGTTACATTGTCTGCAGCGACGTCTCGGAAATCTACTCAAGGGTAGAACGGGATTTGGAGCACAATGGTTGTGGGTGTAAAGAAAGAGGGCAAATCTTACAAAGACGAGGTGTCTTAATGTGTGAAGCTACAGCCCTGGTGTGGATGAGCTTCAGTCAGCTTGTCTGCGCTGTCTGGATTGCTGAGAGGTTTTTCCCTATCTCTGGCTGTTTTCATGGAGAGGATGTTCATTGTGGATAATGCTGTGATCAAGGGAAGAGGACTCTCAAATGCTGAGGAGATAATAGGCATTAGGCATTTAAACAGAATGGCACTTCCTATCGGCTCTTGTTATAAATGACTTGAGAAGCCATTTTGAAAGTTCTATTGCATCCTAAAAAAAACCCCCCTCAAAATGATAAACAAATTCAGAATAAAAATCTCTCATTCTCACGAGCTGAAAGCTCTACAAAAATATAACACTATTGAAGGTATTCACAGATCAGACACAGGCGGCTGATTTGGCCCGCTGACCTGTTTTTTTTTTTAGTTATTATTATTAATATTTTATATTTATGCCTTCTCAATGTACCAAAGTGATCATTTCTGATTTTTTCATTCAATAATAAGTTGATAATAAATCATAAATCGGTTAGTCTTGACTGGCAACGCTGCACTATACGAATCAGCTCACGTGTGATCCACGCTTCCGTCAAACGGTTCCGAACAGAACCAATGCACGGGACTTGATGAAAGAGAGGAAGCGGCCAGAAGAAGCAGTGAAATGTAGCAACATCACTGACCTGTTCAGGGCTTCGAGTGCAGGTCAGTTTCATCTTTAAATACGCTAGATAGTTTTGTCTTTATTAACCTAGTTGAGTATTAAACTGCTAGTATCTGTAGCACCCCATTATTATCATCATTCAGAAGAATGCTGTGCTAAAGGACATCAATATCAATTGTAAAGTTACATAAAAAAATTTAGCAGAGACAGATATTCACATGGATTTATTGTACAGGGAGCTAGAGCAGACAGCAACAAAAAAATAATATGAGTCAAAGCCTATAATTCAATAGTGTGTTCAGTATTAGAAATTTTCAACAAATATATTGTACTAATTTTGACATTTAGGCACTTTTTCAGCATCATTACTCCAGTCTTCAGTGTCACATGATCCTTCAGAAATCATTCTAATATGCTGATTTGTAAGGTACAGATTGTAAGAAGCTGCATTTTTGCTTTTTAAAAAGCAAGACACTGCTTAACATATATACAACTGCAGAGCCATAGCTGATTAATGGAAAAAGGTATGGTCTTGAGATGTGTTTTTAAAAAAGTAATGATTATGCATAAGAGGCTGAAAAAGCAGCAAGACAGTAATGGAAGTTTACTTCCTAGAGATTGCTTCATTATTGGTAAATGATAGAATGCATTTGCAGATTTGGTTTCAGTGGATTGTAGATACAGATCCACTTCATCTTTATGTTTTCATTGTTCTAAAATTTCCATTACTGTTTACATGAAAAACCATTTCAACTGATTCAAAGTGTGAGTAAACACACCAATCCAGTGTGGTATACCAACCGTTTAGCTTCCTTGTCATGCATAAAGTAATCACATCACAACCGAATCACCACCTCTGCATTATTTTCTAATAATTCAACAACCCCTCACCTCAAGACAGGCCCGGACTGGCCATCGGGGGCTTTTTTTAGCTATTATTATTATTATTATTATTATTATTATTATTTTATATGTATGCCTTCTCAATTTATCAAAGTGATTATTTCCGATTTTTTTCATTCGATAATAAATCGATAATAAATCATAAATCGGTTAGTCTTGACTGGCAGCACTGCGCTACACGAATCGGCTCACGTCTGTTCCGCACTTCCGTCAAACGATTCCGAACAGAACCGATGCGCGGGACTCGATGAAAGAGAGAAAGCGGACAGAAGAAGCAGTGAAATGTAGCAACATCACTGACCTGTTCAGGGCTTCAAGTGCAGGTCAGTTTCATCTGTAAATATGCTAGAAATTATTGTCTTTATTAACGTAATTTAGTATTAAACTGCTAGCATCTGTTAGGCTAGTAGCACCCCATTATTAAGACTTCCCCCTAATGGTTAGAGAGTCGGACTCGTAACCCAAAGGTTGCATGTTCGAGTCTCGTACCGGCAGGGATCGTAGGTGGGGGGAGTGAATGTACAGCGCTCTCTTCCACCTTCAATACATTTAGCAGAGACAGATATTCACTTGGATTTATTGTACAGGGAGGGAGGGAGGGAGCTAGTGCAACACAAAAATAATATGAGTAACAGGCTCACAGCCTAATAATTCAATAGTGTAGGCCTATTAGACTTTTTCAACAAATATATTGTACTAATTTTGACATTTAGGCACTTTAGAAATTGTGTTTTAATACACTACTAGTCAAAAGGTTTTGATCAGTAAGATTTTTAAAGGGGTCATATGATGCGATTTCAATTTTTCCTTTCTCTTTGGAGTGTTACAAGCTCTTGGTGCATAAAGACTAGTGCAACACAAAAATAATATGAGTAACAGGCTCACAGCCTAATAATTCAATAGTGTAGGCCTATTAGACTTTTTCAACAAATATATTGTACTAATTTTGACATTTAGGCACTTTAGAAATTGTGTTTTAATACACTACTAGTCAAAAGGTTTTGATCAGTAAGATGTTTAATGTTTTTAAAGAAGTCTCTTCTGCTCACCAAGCCTTCATTTATTTGATCCAAAATACAGCAAAAACAGTAATATTGTGAAATATTTTTTATTAAAATGTAATTTATTCCAAACATCATTACTCCAGTCTTCAGTGTCACATGATCCTTCAGATATCATTGTAATATTCTGATTTGCTGCTCAAAAAAACATTTATTATTATTATTATGTTGAAAACAGATTAGATTTTTTTTGTCAGGTTTCTTGATGAATATAAAGTTCAGAAGAACAGCATTTCTATTCATCTGAAAAATAAATACCCCACCCCCCTCTGGGAAAGGGAAGTGAAGGTGCAGTGCAAGAGAGAACCTTTAATTATTTTCCACGGCCCCAGACTAAGTATTTAGACCTTTTTTATGTGATGGCCATACAAATAATAGGGTTGTCTGGTTTCAGAAATTGTTGTGGATGTATAGGCTATATACAGGAAATAAGGGGCCAAAATTGCACCTTTTGGGGTACAACAGCTTGTCACTGGAACAGGACCCTTAAAAGGACATATTTGTTCCTTTTTTACCCCTAATAGGTAGGCCTACAAATTAGTACCTTAAGGGTACAAATTACTACTCGGTGTACTGTTAGGTGTCAAGCTGTTGTACCCCAAAAGGTACAATTTTGGCCCTTTTTTTTCTGTGTGGCCTGGATGAGTGTGAGATTTCCCAGCCTGAAATTGCATCCCAGTCCGGCCCTGGCTCTCTGTGTAGGCTTTTTTTTCAATCTTTTAAAATATGGATTTTATACTTGTATGCATTACTGTATATATTTGTCCAAAAAGTATTGGAAATTAGGAAAACAATAAGACAAATGTTGCTTAAGTACTCACCAAGACTGCATTTATTTGATCAAAAACAGTAATATGTATTACAACTGCATATTATCTTTTTATCTTTTCTATTGTATTGTATTTTAAAATGTAATTAATTCCTGTGATATTCACTGATGAATAGAAAGTCATAAAGAACAGCATGTATTTGAAAAAAATAAATCTTTTGTAACATTAATGCCGTTACTTTCACTTTTGATCGATTTAATGCATCTTTGCTGCAAGAAAAGTATTTGCTATTTGCTATCTATTTCATGCAAAATTGTTAACCGTGTTATGGAGTATGGAGTGCCACACCTGCAAATGGCCGGTGATATTTACCAGCCATCAACATTTTTTACTGACCATGATACTGTATGCGCAATATTTTATTAAAAACAGGCAGAACAAATAGGGAAAAGCACATCTAATTGCAATTTTTATTACTACTACTACTACTACTACTATTATTTCATCAAATTATAAAATCAAAAAGATCAATAAAGACATATCTATAATATAGTATTCCATAATTGTAATTTTAAATAATAATAATTATTATTATAACAACAATACAATTATAATATTTATGTTTTTTTTTTTTTTTGGCTCTCAAACATATTTTATTTTGGTGGCAAACTGCAGGGAAACTTCTCTTTTGAAGATTTATAAACACTTCTCACTACAAACTTCGGAAAATGTTCCGACAAATGTTCAAACTTCGGAAAATGTTCACTTCACTCTGAAACGGGCCGCACATCAGTTTACAAATTTATATAATTACAAGTCTTTGCAACTTGATAATCTCATAACCCATACTCAGGCACAGTTAGAATTAATTAAGTAAACAAACGTTTTCAATGCTGTTTCATATACACACCAACGCTGATTTTTTTTAGGCCCTTGCATGCTTTAA